CGCGATAAGGCGACTCGTTATCTGGCGAGGCCCAGGTTAACAGAAATCAGTGTTTTGCCAAGGTTGGGGTTTTTTTTTTTGGTGATGTTAATGCCTTAACTTTCTATTTCTCGAAGTTGGATGACAAAGAGGTTTTGGTTAATTTCGAGCCGCATGCCTCTAGGAAAACTTGAAGAGCTTGTTGTGCAACCAATTTATTTATTTTTTAATTACAAAGAAAGAGAAAAAAAAATCAGTCCTAAGCACGCACCTGAATGCTCGACATCCGACTTAAAAAAGCAGATTTTGGGCTAATTTAAAGGAGTTAAAGCTTGGTGACCCTATGGGTCGTGCTCGTTCCAGCTCCTTTCCAAGCCAGTCGCCGGGTTAAGGGAGGCTTTTTTGTGCCCAGGCAGGAAGCTCTGCTGCGAGCCACGTGTTGGAAGCGGGGACTCTGCCTGCGAAACCCTTCCGAGAATTTAACTTTCACTAGATAACAAGCTTGTGCTCGCGCAGCCTGCGTTTTTCTTGACTTGCTTACTTCTTTACCCGTAAATTTTATGCAAACTTCAGTTTAACAGCGTTAGCCGGAGTGATCGAACCCTGGGGCTGGTTAATTCCCTTCCCCCCCGCCGAGCCGGTAATTAAATTTGCCAGGAACAAAACGTTTCCCAGGCTGGCCGGACCACGTGCTGCTCCTTTATCTCCCGCCCGAGCCGGAGGCCCTTGTTCTCCTCCCCTGAGGAGGAAGATGGTGCCGGGATGCTGCGGCGGGCGGTGATGTATGGCACGTAGGGAATGGGGCTGCAGTACCTGGTCGCTGCCGCCCAGCGCGCAGCAAATCCGCGTCCTGGAGCTGCGGATGCAGCAGAGGCATCTCTGCTTCCCCCTAGAGTGTGAAAACACCCCCAAAACTTTCCTTTCTCATGCAAAAAAGGACTTTTGTAGTCTTCACAGGACATGGTTTCTTCTGATGTGGGATCAGGTTGAAAGGCCCTTTGTCCTCTTAGCGAGCATCTCACTGCGAGGTGGAGTCAGTAGGTGTGCCCGCACTACAAATACCCTCGAGAGAAGTCTTTCTTGTCACCCAGTCTCTGATAACTTTTTTTTTTGTTGTTAAGTCTCCTGCCTGCCCTTGCCCTCCCGGGAGGGTGGGCTCGGCTAAAGCAAGCCTAATCCGTCTGCAGGGAAAGCGCTGATGTCACCCAGCGCCATCCGTGCTGGCCCCACCTGACCTCCCTGGCCCCTGTAATTCAGCCACTGAAGCATCTCTGTGTTGGAGCCATGGGTCTTCTCCTCCCGGGGAGAGTGTACTGTGGCCTGGCGAGCAGGTGGCAGCTTCTGGGTCCTGTCCAAGAAGAGATGGCATTTTTGGGGGTGGCCATCTTGTACTTATGTAAGGGTACGACGCCACCCCCTGCAATAACCGCACAGAGAACAGCACGTTGCCCCCTCCTTTCTGGAAAGCAGTCGTGAAGCTGTGTTAAAAGCCTGCCTCAAGGCAGAGCGCTTTTTTTTGTGTGTTTTTTTTGTGTTTTTTTTTTGTTGTTGTTTGAATGCCTTCTGGAATGAGCGAAGCTGATGTCTTTTAGGCTTTTTTGGGAGGAATTTGAAGGCTTTCCTGGTTTCATAACCCTGCTGACTGAAACCCTTTTCTGTCTCTGGCTGGGGCACGTTGGGCATGAGCAGCCTTGCTCTGCGGGTTGTGTAAGTGAGGCTGACTAATGAAACCCGAACCGTCACCCGCGGGAGCTTCCCCCCTGCCTGCCTGCAACTTGTTAGAACGTTTTTATCCGGTCTGGCGACGGTTAATGCCGCTCCTGCCTGGGGCCAGTCCCTGCCGCTGCAGTGTTCATTTCCCTTCGCTTTATCGGCTGAGGTGGAGATTGCAGAAGGGGGGGTTACTGCTGCCTCTCCTTTCTCCGTCCAGTCCCTAGGGCAAATCTGGAAGTGCTGGACCCGACCGCAGGATGAGCTGGCTGGGGTTTAGTCACCTCGCTGCTGTGAAACCAGTCATCCGGAGCTCAGACGGCTTCCTTCTAGAATATTCAGGAGCTGGGGGGAGGGAGATGCCAGATGTCTTTGGGATGCCCTGCCTGAAGTGCAGTCAGCCCGAGCAATAAACTTGGGGATTTAATATTTATTTCCTTGAAGAAGGAATTCAGATTGATTCAGTGCTGGAAACATTCAGGCTTTGTAAGATATTGCTTTCCCCACTTCCACACCTCCCTCACGCAGACCAAACTGAGTGCTCTCTGTCTTTGAGCGTCCTTGAAGTCCTTGCTTCTCTGTTTGATTTTAAAAAAAGCAAGTGAAGCAGTGGGAAATGCCAGACGTTCCTGGTATATTTATAAGACTAGTCCTTCCCGTAGAATTCAATCACTACTTTGTAAATATGTGGTCTTGGGAGGCAGGAGGAAGCATTAAAAAGTGAAGCTTGTCAGTAGTGGGGCATGGTGCTGCAGGCAGATGGGTGTTTGGGATACTTTTGGGCTGCTGCGTTTCTTCTCTCGCCCCTGGACAAGGTCATTGGTGCCTCTGATTAATTGTCCTGAGCTTGCTGAAGTGCTGGAAGATCTTGTGAAGGGGATTTTGGGTGGGAACTTCACGTTTTCTTTTCCTTTATGTATTTAGAAAGACTTCAGGAGGGTTAAAATTATATTTGCAAATTACTTGAGTGGGTGGGGGATTTTCATGAGATGGGGTGAACTCACCTGCCTACTGTTAAAAACTTGCAAGTCATGCTCTGGATCTGTCTCGGGATCCTGTTGTGTCGTATTCCTCTCATTCCCAGAATCTGTGCAGACCTGCTCACCTCTGATTGTGCAGAGGCGCTTTCCCAGCAAAAGCGCCTTTTTTTTTTTTTTTTTTTTTTTTGCCTCTAGAGAAGGCAATGCTGCTCCACAGGTGTCAGAGGATGCAGCAGCAAGTGTTAGAAGGCTAAAACACAATGTTTCAGGGCTGGCCAGCGGGTTTTCCTGTAATAATGGGACTTCGTCGGGCTTTTTATGTGGGCAGACTTTCTTGTAGCGACTCTGGTGAGTCAGCAGCTTCTGGCAGGGCTGAAGGAAAGGAGGTTTCGCCAGGACAAATTATGGTTTTTCGCTGGGCTGGCTCCTTTGTGCCACATGGGAGCAAGAGGCGATGGTGAGTCAGGGCTGCCTGCAGAGAGGGATCTGCACGAACCGCACGTACGTGGGGAAGGTCTGCAGAGCAGAAGTGGCTGAGGGGAGGAGCGTCGGCATGAAGCGGGGCCTCTGCGGCACCCAGGCAGGCACATGGCAGGGTTACTGTTAGTTTTTTTGTTTTTTTTTTATCTCTGCCTTTTTTCCTACGACTTCTACACAAAAGGCCTATCTTAGAGGTGAAGGCAGCTTAGCCTGCTTTAAACATCCCCTGCGTGCCCAGAGGATGAAGTTTGAAGTCAAGCCACTGTTTGAAGTTGAAACTAGTGATCTGCCCATGCCAGCAGCTGCCACCTTACATCGCACCCTGACCAGAGTCCCTTTTCAAGAAAGCCTGGGCAGGTCGAATAGGACGAAGAGATTTTAGCTGCTGCTACTTGAAAGTGAAGTGATTGCTGTCAGCAATTAGAAATGCCCGTAGGCAGCAGCGCTGCTGAGAAATAAGTGTCCTCCCATTCCAGTTCAGCCTCCTCTTGGGATTGCAGGCTATTTCTCTGGTTTTGGGGGTGCTCTAATCCTGTAGAGGCAAGCTGCCTGAATTCAGGTAGTTGTTTTTAATCTAAACTTTGGCAGGGGGAACCAAACAAAAAAACCCCCACGTGGTGATTTTCTGCTGCCCTGGGTGAGGGGGAGTGCAGGTGATGAGAGAGCCACAGTGTTTTCAGTATGAAGAGGGACCTTGAGCGCATTAAAGAAATCTTCAGTCTTTTACATGTTCTGTGCCAAGGTGTTGTGTTTAATCAACTCAAAGCCACTTGCTTGTACAGGCTTAAAGGGTGGGTTTTAAGCTTAGGTGGACTTTGCTGTGATTAGGCACTTCTCGGTGGAAGATTGCCTGCGTAAGCGCATATCTGCAGTCACGCTAGTGCCGAGCTGCTCCCATCCTCAATTGTGGTGGGAAATGCAGCCGAGGCCTGTAGGAGAAGTGACTCAAGAGCTGGGAGGGAGGAGGCAGAATCTCTGCCTGTGCATTCAAGTACTTGAATTTTGTTGCGTTGTGTAGCTCCAAGGGAAGACTGGCAATGAAGAGAAGCTATGAAGGGAACATCTGCATAGAAGGCAGGTGAGCTTTGGGTGGTCGGCGTGGGGGATGACATGGAAATATGTGTCTTGCCTGTATCTAAGACTCTCAAGTGAGAACATAAATATAGTTTGACCCAATAGCAGCTTTCTTATTCCCTCCATATTCATCATGTGGATGTGTCAGTGTCTTTGCTCGATGAGTGAGCCTGGATGATGCCAAACCTGGCACCACTTTCTTCTCTCCTAGGCACAGGATTCCAGTGACAATGTCGAAGCACCACGATGCAGGGACCGCTTTCATCCAGACCCAGCAGCTACATGCTGCTATGGCAGACACCTTCCTGGAGCACATGTGCCGCTTGGACATCGACTCAGAGCCCACCATCGCAAGAAACACCGGCATCATCTGCACCATCGGTAGGTGATTCCTAGATAGGAGACGATTGCAGCTCCAAAGTTGGTGAAACTTGTCAGGGAAATTGTGAGAAGGCTTCGGCTTTCATCCTTTGCCAGGGCTGAACTTGAGTGTTGAACGAAGTGCCTTTCCCATGTCTGCCTAACCCCCGTTATTACTAGGTGTGGATCCAGTAGCTTCGGAAATTGGAACTGTGTAGGTTCTACTCTGCTCCTTGAGGCAAGTGTAAACATCTGCTGATGTAGGGATGATCTGCTTCAGTGCTGAGCAAGTCTTGCATCCATTACACTTTTCCACATGAAACAGCCTGATATCAGTGTGTGGGTTGTCTCATTATCTTCACAAAGTTAATATTCAAACTGGTTCTTCCTCCTAGGCCCGGCTTCCCGCTCAGTGGACAAGCTGAAGGAAATGATTAAATCTGGGATGAATGTTGCCCGCCTCAACTTCTCTCACGGCACCCATGAGGTAAGGGTGGGGTCAGAGCTGATATGGCCTCGACTGGCTGTGTGTGTCTGCTGACCAGTTCTCTCGTGGATGGGGCAAATCCAGCTTAGTCCAGACCAGCCTTGGTGTGGGAAGGGAAAAACTGATCTCCACTTTTGTTAAAGTGTGCCAGCTGTACGTATTGAGCATGCGTAATTGCTGATAACATAAAAGTAGGCATTCTGAACTGTTCTAAAGAATAAACTGTCAACGATTTGAAGTAATTACTGTGCGTAGTTGAAAGGATGGAACTCTGGGGTTTGCTTGGCTAACTAAGCAGCTGCTCTGGTTGTGTTCCTGGCAGTCGTGATGTTGGCACCGCGGCGCTTGGGAGGTGGTGCAGTGAGCTTTATAAGAATAAGGTCAAAAGAAATCAATGCTATTCATGGCAGACCAGCCCTTACTGATATAAATAGATGAGCTCCTCAGCGATACGGAGACAAGGATCCCATTCCAGG